AATAGGTGATATTTCAAGTGGGAAGGTGTTCAGTGTGTATGTGAAAAAGTGTTAGTTTAGATTATAGGTGAGATGAAATGTGGTGTTGTTGTGTAGATGGAGAGAATGTGTTTAGTGAAGAAGTCGTCCGTGGGGCTGCTTCGTTGTCGTTGTCGTGGTGGTTACAGTGACCGTGCTAGCTAGGATGATTGAGTGAGCGTGGTCAGTGAGTATTGGTTTGTATGATGTGATGGCATTGTTGAAAAGTCGGGCTCAGCCGGGAGTCGAACCCGGGACCACTCGCACCCGAAGCGAGTATCATACCCCTAGACCACTGAGCCACGAGCGCCTGCCCAGGGCAAATTTACGCCTACTCACGATATATTCATGTACACTCACCTTCAATTCAGTATGTCACATTCCCATCATATACAACATATCATCACATCATCATCTATCTCACGTCAACAGAACAACATCTCAACCTCATCTCATCGCCTTCGTATTTCATTGTTTAATTCACTGGAGAGAACGCATACATACAGTCATCTATGTCACTCACTGTGGATAACCAACTGGCGACCACCTGTACTCACCTAATCACTCTGTCCCACTCTCCTGACTTCTTCGATATTTCAATAATGACGAAGGCAGTCTGAATGATAGAGAAATGAGATAAGATCTCATTCCTCTAGCTAACGAATCAACCAAACACCGATGTCGCTTGGTCATTCAAGAAACCAATCAGTGCGTGGTGGAGACGACCAATCACAAGACGAACATGAATAACAAGGGAGGGAGGAGAGCGGATATGAGGTGAGAAATAGTGGGCTCATACAAAATACGGGACACTGAAGAAATTGTCAATCGAACAGGAATGAGTGGGTGGACAGTAGGCACCTGCTACCAACACAACGCAATCGCCATTGAAAATTCACGTCACATGAACGCAAAAATGCAAACGAAAACACACACAAACATACACAAGCACACAGAACACTCAACAATGACAAGGTGACTTTGATCATCGGAGTCTGAGAAGACTCGTTGAACGGTCTCGCATAAAATTTGGTTGACAGGCTCGGTTATTCAGTCAATGTTGAGGAGAATATTTTGGGGTGTATGTCGAAACACATGGATGTACAGCATAACATGTCAAAGAAATTCTTGTCACACTCGAATCATCAGACCAATTGTACATCACTGATTGTCTCTGGTCCTAGTGTATCTGTGCATTGACGCTACTCTGAGACGGCGAATATTTCGGCATACCGGTGTTTTCTGTAATATGATGGATCAGTATTTTGAAGTTGTTCTGCGATGTCGAGTGAATTGACGCAACATACTCTCTCCATTACTCGTAACATGCTAAATGTAGGGAACAATACTGCTCCAAACTCATTGGAGGAGATGGCTGAAAGCATTCTGAGCTTGAACACAGGAGGAAAATCTCCCGAAACCAACACTCTCTACTCACTTCAATCAAAAATGAATTCACTCTTCGGACAAGATCAATGGGAGTTTTCATGTGAAGAGTGGCACACAAATACTCAACTCATACCGATGACAACAATGGTGACAGCATTGGTTGAAGTGTTGCTGCTGCTTTATTTTGACTGAACTAGAGTACACGTATCTTCTAGTATTTCTTCGCGTTTATAATTGTGACCTAACGTTGCGATTACTCGACATCCGCAACGTAATTCAAAAGGCACCTGCGAAGGAATACGATAGTGTATTATTGCAGCAATCAAGATTCAAAAATCGAGCAAGAGCAAAAGGTATCAATTGTTAACATGCAAGATTTAGAGTAATAAATAAATGAAAGTACAATTACACAATGAAAGTATAGTACGATTATGAGTAATAAAACGGGTCACTACAGAAGTCTATGCATCTCATCTTTATCGGACAGTCAACCAACGGAAATCTCATTCATTCTCATCTTCACCAGCTGAGATGAATGTCGCTTCACACGATTCCATTATCCACTCAATAACTGACTGATTCATTGACAAACTGACAGGCTGACAGACTGATTGATTCAGGACAGTAATGCTGGTAGAATGCACAAGCTACCAATCATGCAGCATCCCGACAGAAGGACCGAGCGAGTATCAATGCTTTATCATTACTTACACCACCAGTAATTGTGATTGACAAATTTCCGTCATAAATAAACTCCTGTTAACATTGCATTAATTGAATTGCAATGCGAGATAAGCGATGATTATTGTTTGTCAGATTCCCTTCATTTTGACAGTAGAGTTGTTTTCTTCTAATTGATCAGTTGCCTGACATTAATAGCCTTTCGACGAGATGCAAGCATGCAGTGAAAGCGTGGTAACTACTGAATAGGTGATATTTCAAGTGGGAAGGTGTTCAGTGTGTATGTGAAAAAGTGTTAGTTTAGATTATAGGTGAGATGAAATGTGGTGTTGTTGTGTAGATGGAGAGAATGTGTTTAGTGAAGAAGTCGTCCGTGGGGCTGCTTCGTTGTCGTTGTCGTGGTGGTTACAGTGACCGTGCTAGCTAGGATGATTGAGTGAGCGTGGTCAGTGAGTATTGGTTTGTATGATGTGATGACTTTTGTAGTTTTGTAGAGAATTTTTTAAAATATTATTTTGGTATTAGGTTGTTTTATTGGGCTTTTGTTTTGTAATAGTTTGTTGCAGTTTTAATATTTTTTGAGTGCTTGTGTTTAAAAAATATTTGTTTGACGTCTATTGTTGGTACTAATTTATTGGACAAGTTATTTAGAATTACTTCTAGGTTAATCAGTAATCATTTTTTTATTTCAATAATTTTGGCCTATATAACATCGTTGAATGTGAATTGTACATTGAGTATACGTCTCAGTAATAGTTCATTTAAACAAGTCGTCGGTAGTCCATTGTTCAGCTGATTTTAGTCTCTTTATTGACAAATGTGACAGACAGTTTTTGTGAGCGGAACGTTGGTATATAGTGACTCAATTTCGAGAGACAGCATATTTTTGTTATTTACGTTGATATCTTTAATATAATCAACGAATTGGATGGTGTCACTAAGCGAATAGTGGCACATTTGTTTTCGTACAGATTCTAAAATGTCAGCTAGCCATTTCGCTATTGAATGGTATGGGGAACCTGACATATCCAAAATTGGACGCAGTGGGAGGTTTGCTTTATGTATCTTCGGTAAGCCGTATAGTCTTGGTATTATTGATCCTGTCGGTCGGATTTGATCATAGACTTCATGACTGATTAACTTTTCGGTTTGCATTTTTTTAAGGACATCGATGAGTTGTTTTTCAATCTGTTTTTTTTTATTTCCTTCATTGGGTGGTTGTGAGAATTTTGTTTTATCTGACAAAATGTTGTTCATTTTCTCTATATAGTCTTTCCTGTCCATAAGGACTATACCAGCTCCTTTATGTGGATGGGTTATTAGAATTTCTTTGTTTTGTCTCAATTGATTTAATTCTTCTCTATGTTGCCTTGTTAGCTGGTTGTATACTTTTGGTTTTGTATTCAGATATTGATAACAACAATCGATTATTGTTGATTTGAATCGCTGCAGTTCTTGTTCGGAGTCAAATCATTTGTTTGCGTAACTAAGTTTTCGAATTGTACATGAGTATGGAGTCTGTTGGCATTCAGGTTGACGTCGCAGAGTTTTGGACCGATGGATAGGGCTTCTAACAGCAGGTTGGATAGAATTACTGAAGAGTAGTTAAATATGAATTTTGAAGGGTCATCAGGAAACTGTGTGATTTGAGGCTTTTTGTGAGTTGGGATATAGTAGATTGTGACCGTTTTTCAGTGACTGTATTCCGTAAACCTCTGAATTTCATTAGGTAGCAAATCGTGGATGGCTGGAGACCTTTGTGAAATGTTGCGTTGCAGTTCTGGGATACGTGCTTTAATGGAGTCGGTCAGTTCACCTGTTACTGTGGAGCCAAATACATCGGTCGTTCAACGCGCATCCTGTCAAAAAGGGTCAAAGAACACTACCCAGCGTGGCTGCAGAAAGGAAGTAATGGCCGTATAAGGAGTGCAATAATCGAACATCTCGTCAACCCTGGTCATTCCATCTCAAGAAACGCCTCTTTCAAAGTAATCTAAAAAGTAAAGAACAACCTTCCAAAGACAATACGTTTCCGTCTTCTTTGCATCGTAGAAGCCCTAGCCATTCAGTTGGAAGAACCAGAACTATGCATACAAAAGAAAATTATTCAACCACTTCTACTCTCATGGTAGCGACTCCGTTGATTTAACTTAACTTTTGTTTGTATGTTCATTTTTCTAACTACTTAAGTTTCTCACGTAATTCCGTATGTTATTTTGTTTCCATGTACATCCTGAGCACAACTCTTTCATCAAACTATTCACGTTATTACGGAACTCTTCTTGAACAATCATTTGTGACAACTCATCACTTTTGTCACCTGAACTTACTAATTGTATTTTCGCTTGACAAATTTTATCTTCCCCTATGATTTTATGCTTTGAGAAATTAGATTTTGAAAACCTACGAATTTGCATAATAGGATGTGAAGGCTTTTAATTTCATGATCATAAGGACGTAAGTTTAGTCCTTTACTAATTATACATATATTATGATCATTCATATCCACGGCAGAGTTACTGAATTGATGGTTGGTATTTTGCTGTGTAAACGAAAAATTAGGTGGACTCTATAGTTTATATATATATATATATATATAACATCATGCTAATCTTCAGATATCTTTCAAGGATCCCTACTGGGAGTCAACAGAGACCGAACATTTCGGTCCAGTCAATTAACGGGACAAACAAAATTGACTAAAGCGAATTTGTTGGATTGTTTTAATGTGTTGATGAAACTAATCTACCTGAATATTTTCTACAGTTGCAGGTTTACTTCTTCATACTATGAACATAACACATATACACTGGTATTATATTCCATACAGATTTATTCACAAAAGTTACACTTCATATTATTAGGGTGATATATAATACACAACAAATAATGATGCATAAATATTGTGTTCATCATATAAAAGGAAGATTTAATGGATGAGGAGTCATAAATTTATCGAGAACTTCATCAGTAACTGCCGCTCTTCTCTTCTGGTGCTCACCAACAAATTCAGTTAAAAGCGTTATTAGCTCCTTCTTCAATTCACCAGTCAGCATTTTGCCACACGAGTACTCCTGAAAAATTGATTTTAAAAATGAATCAATGTTAACAGGGAATAACACAGTAAAACTTTATAAGAACTTGCAACATTGATTAAATCTTAGAGAAAATACATATTACTATGAGAAAATTAAGAGGTGTCGCTGTAATATTACCTGACGTATTCTGTGCAACATCTTCAGCTTGTCAGGCTTCTGATTTATAACACATATTGACCAGTGAAATAATCAGTGAGAAGGAGGTTAATGAGTCCAACAATTAAAATACACAAAAATAATATAAAACTAGTCGTGAAATGATAACTTTTCTCACGAACTGACACTGAATTGAGAATCACAGCTAATTGATAATCATTAGATAGCTAATTCTCCCTAGTTTGTGACTATTCAACAATGAACACCACCGATCTTCAGATGCACTGAAATCAGAGTAAATGGATCTTGAGGTGAGAAAGTATTAACAAGCATCAAAACTGGTTTGAGGATGTCCCCCTTCCAAATGTTTCTAGAAAATTCTACATACAAAGTGTAATGAATTATATTCCAGCCTGTCAAACCATATATTATTTACATTACATTGAACATCTCTAACACTTATTTATCTACTGGAGTATAGGGAATCTTTTGTGTAAAAGCGATTAGATGTATATGTACCAGGCATATATTCTTTAGAAAAAAAATATTTCGAAGTCTTATTATTCATTTTTCTTTCTGCATGGTTTGGATCACTTCACTCCTACAAACAACCTAGTAAGGCCGAGGGTGGGTAGATTACCGTTTTCCTCTGCAAATGCTCTCTCATGTGGCTACGCGTTCATAGACTCTGACAGATGAGTCCTATTAACGGCCTTTACAACACGGGGATATTAGCTATAAAATGAAGGGAAAATTTACGTTCATCGTACACCCTAAAAGAAGTTCCTCTGAAGAAAACACAGAAATTCCAGTCTTTACACATTGCTTTATTAGTTAATTACATATGTAGTCAACTGCTTCCATCATAGGCATATTGGTGAATAACGAAGAAACACCCAGTGACATCATGTATTTATCCTTCACATTTAATTCTCTCTACAAAATCAAAACTATCTTTCATGCCACTTTTCATGAGTTTCTTGTGCAATGACTGTAAAAATTGCACAAGAAACTCATGGAAAGTGGCATGAAAGATAGTTTTGAGTTTGTAGAGAGAATTAAATGTGAAGGATAAATACATGACTGCTATAGTTTATCTTAACCCCAAGTTCTTTAGATTTTGGTGAAAAGTACAAAACTGAGTCTACAAATTACATGTACATGACGGGATATAAAATGCCACAGATTGTTTAACCTGAAAAAACAATTTCTAAAACAATAAATCCTCAATCATGTCGGACTGAAATTCTACGTATCAGCCTAACACCATGAGAAAAGAGTAACCGATACATAACGCGTTCTTCAATAAGTACCTGACGTATTTGCTCTAACTTATTATCATCTTCTAGGAAGAATCGTAAGTACTGGAAAGATACATCGATATCACAATTTCCGCCACGTTCTCTATGTTCAGCGACTGTATCCCCACCACCAGAATAAGCATATTTATTGATCTGAAACCAAGGAAAAACATATGGGTAACTAGGGTACAATATAACAATGAGAGGCCGACTAAATGTTATAATGAGAAGCATCGAAAAACACAAATTAATGGGAATTCAAGTTCGGAGAACCTTCTGGACAGGAAAATAACAAGTATGATACATAAGTGCATAAGAAATGGTTAGTTTCACCACACATATACAAACATATGAGAACCAAGAATGACGAACAGTCAGTATGGGGAGAATTTGATTATCGTCGGCTATACACAAGCACTTTAACTGTTAAAAGCGTAAAGCTTATGAAATGACTACAATCCTACTGAAAAATGGTTTATGAGACATGTGTTATATAATGACAGACGTTCCACACCATTTCTTGTTTTATAGCATTTATGTATTGACTTTGGGAACTGGAATGAGAATATTGGATATTGAAAGTTAATTATCACTACAGATCCTAAAACACGCATAAAAAAGTCATTTAATAGAAAAACGAGTTGCCGATTGTATCTGCATGCAGTCGGCGGTGATAACAAAACGGCACACTATTTAAACTACATGCAAGTAACTAAAATCAACCCCAGACGATTTCAGTAGTTTCCAAATTCCCATTTACGCATTTAGAAAATAAAAAACAGATTGAGCGAAGGAATATATTCCTTTACAGTTAGTTCCTCATCATCGGCTCTACACTAATATATAATGTTTTTAAATCAAAATGTTTTACCAATCAAGTGGTTATTTTAGTTAATCAGTTTCAGGAATAAGGAGGTGGTGAAATCAAGAGGTTAAAAGCCACCAAAACAATTAGCCAACAGATGTTAGTAACAAGTTACAAAAGAAGGGTGAAAATTAATCACCGAATTCGAGGTAATTTAATTCGTAGGGATTAGCAACAAATTATTGCATACTCAAGAAATTTGTAAAATAATGATGACTAAGCAAAATAGGATGACTCAGTGGAATTACGTAAAATACAAACAAGTTAATAGAATTAGCTAGAAGTGTAAAAACTAACAAAGTCAAAAGATAGTTACAAGGGGGAAGGAAATCATTTTTAAAAACTTAATACATATTATGAAGTTGGCCATAACACAGAAAGGGGCTGTACAAATTTCTTTCGAACATACAGATTCGGCTCATTCAGATGAATTCCGATTGCCTTGACTGTATGTAAAAGTCGTACTCGCAGACCATGCGAGAGGTTGGATGATATGCGATAAAACTTTAAAAGCTTTGCTAGAGTCAACTTGACGTCCAGAATGCACGAAATGAGCTAGTATTGAGCTGCGTATAGCTTTATTCAGATCTTTGCGAAACCAAGATGCGAGGTGTTCAGAAATTCGATGATGAACTTGCGTGATCGTACGCCCAATGTAACTAGCTCCTCTGCACGAGCAGTTAAACTGGTAAATACTCATCGAAGAGGCAAGACAGGGAAGTTTGTCTTTATTTCTTGAAGTAAGTATTGGTTGGCTAGTGAATATGCAGCGTAGATTAGCTGCGTTGAAAGTCCTTTTGAAGGCCCTTCTCAGACTTTGTGATAAGATCTCACTATTGAGATCACCGGTGGATTGTAATCTTAGGAATAATAATTTTTTGAGAACAGTGAGCACCTTCGACTTTTTACTTTCTGAGTTCATGTGTTTGTTCAAGAATTCGGTCGGATATCCGTTTCTACTTAGCAGATCACGAGTATTACCGAGTTCTTCGTTTAGTGTCTCATTTGAACAGAAAACTCTAGTCCGGCGAACCAGACATCTAACCAGATCACGTTTGTATTATAGAGGTACGAAACTCAGGAAGTGAGTATATTGTCTAGTGGAAGTAGGTTTTCTATGCAAACGTCTAAATATTGTTCCGTCTTCATACAACTGGTTCCCTTGATAAATTTCGATAAAGAAAGGAAGACAAAATTTGCAGTATAAAATGATATCATTCTATTTCACAGGTTCTCATCAGCTGCAGACTACCTGAAATTACAATGGTTATATAAATGATAATAACATACTTTAATGTTTGAGTAGTAGTAGAGAAGAGACAAAATTGACGCATCCAAAAAAGAATGAAAGCGTCAATTTTATCTCTTCTCTACTACTACTCAAACATTAAAGTATGTTATTATCATTTATATAACCATTGTAATTTCAGGTAGTCTGCAGCTGATGAGAACCTGTGAAATAGAATGATATCATTTTATACTGCAAATTTTGTCTTCCTTTCTTTATCGAAATTGTTCCGTCTATTCGTTTAGTCACTAGGACGTCAAAAAAGGAGATAGAATTATTTTCTTCTTCCTCTCCTTTAGTGAAGCTTATGTCAGGATGTGCTTCATTGAATTTATCCAATATGTCTTCACAACTGTAAATGTATCATCGACATATCAGCAATAGAAATCAAGATTATATATTACGTCTTAAAGAGGACCTTTCTCTAGTTTCTCCAGGAAAAAATCTGCTACGATTGGGCCTAGTGGTGATCCCATGGCTACACCATCCAATTGTCTATACATTTCTTTATTGAACAGTAAGTTTACGTTCATTGTGCACCCTAAAAGAAGTTCTTCTGAGGAAAACACAGAAACTCCAGTCTTTACACATTGCTTTATTAGTTAATTACATATGTAGTCAACTGCTTCCATCATAAGCATATTGGTGAATAACGAAGAAACACCCAGTGATATCATGTATTTATCCTTCACACTTAACTCTCTATTTCTTTCTACGGACTCAAAACTATCTTTTACGCTATTTTTCACGTTTCTTGTGCAACGGTAGTAAATGTTCCAACAGCCATTTCGCAGTTGAATGGTATGGTGAGCTAGACATATCGAGGACCAGTCTAAGTGTCAAGCTGTTTTTGTGAATCTTTGGTGAGCTGCATAACTTCGATGTCACCGTGCCGACAGGTTTTAGTGCTTCATACAAGTCAGGTGAAATATCGCCTTGTTGTTTCAGCTTTTTTAAAGACTCTGTAAACTGTCTCTCAGTCCTCTCCCCTCTTATCCTGTAAAATAACCATGGTTTCGTTGTTTTTGTCATTAACGGTGCTGTGTGATCTGTTTGAATTTAGCTGGAAATAATTCTTAACACTTCTCATCAAGTAAGCAAATCAGACATTAACAATACGTAAATAGAAGCTTTGAACTGCAAACTCTGTATAATATTTCAGACAATGTTGTACACAAATACAGTTAATTTATTACCATTTTCAAGAGTTAATCTGTAGGGATTCGATTCGTTTTTTAAAATTCGACTACGGAATGATATCAGCCAGGGAACTATCGTAAACCAGGGAGTACTGGACAGATTTTTCGTCCAGTCCGGGACTCATCGGCAGTACGCACCCACCGGCTTTCGAATACAGGATCTCCCAGTGACAAGGCAAGCTCGTATACCACTCAGCTACTGAGACCCGAGTCAATGGCCAATGAATTCTAAAGTATACCAATTCGTGATTTTAGCGCGATCACCAGCCGATGTCATCAGTGAGTATTAGTTCATCATTATGCATTGTATATCATTATTCCCATTAGTTTCGAGTGGAACATAGGTCTTCAGCAATATATCTACATTTCATTATGTTCTCTACAGTCCTTTATAGCTGGCTCCAAGATTACATATAACCTTTTATTTCCTCCTCCATATCACCCACAAGCGTCCAACTTGTCGTTTTCTATTCGCGTTTCACTCGAGGACCTGGTGAACCATGCTACCCAACGGTCTCTTCTGAGTATGTTCAGTTTATCTGTGCGTTGGTGGCACAGCGGTTAGGACGCTCGCCGACCATACACATGGTTCAATCTCCGGCCGACGCACACCTGATATCAATGGTTGACCTGCAAAATTTGGGCTACCAATATCACATGCTAAAAATTCCATAGCTGTACCAAAAATACTGTGTGGAATCAATCTATAATAAAAATACAAATTTTCTTCTGTATATCTATTGGGCGATGGGTCCTTGGTTAGTTCGTTGTTAGAGTCCCTTGATGTTCATACTTTCTGACGGGTCCTTTGTTCTTCAGTGTTGCGCGAATGCAGCTGTTGATAAAAGTCTGGATTGGTCTGCTAGAAATGCTCTTCATGACGCGCTGAGTCTCTGAACTATATAGAAGCTGTGATTTGGCGGTAGTGTTGAAGATCCAGATCTTGTTCTTTGTGTTATGTTCAGTAGATTTCCACACTGATTTCCGAGTAACGAAGGTCTGTTTTGCTTCATCACAACATGGGCACCAATATAAGAAATTATGAACCGTTACGTTGATTTCTCTAACTGATATCAATCCGTGATCAACTCGTAAAAACATAACTAACCCTTACGAACCAAACTATAGAAAATTAATCTGATGCTCGCTAGTAACTTGCTACAAGATGGAGTTTCCTGGAGTTCTAGTGAGAAGTCGTGATCAATGAAACATTTGTTTTCATTGTGAGTGTTGATAACTATATCCAGAAAACTTGTAATTCACTAAATGACTACGGTATAACATTTACATATGTAGAACAAAGCAAGTAACGTGAATATGAATCCTACACAACAGTCTGCCAATACATGAAAAAATTACACTAAGTACAAACTATTCCGATTTGATGAATATTAACTGCAAATGGTATAGTGAAAAAAGTGATTTACCTTATTTTTTATTTGTTTTGGTGTATCTGTTAAAAATATTGATGTGTTAGGATTACTCGCACTCATTTTTGTATGATTTCCTTGTAAGGCAGGAAAGAATACTGAATACATAAGAGATGGTTTAGGCAGACCAAGGCGAGGAGCAACATCTCTTGTCATTCTAAAGTATGGATCTTGATCAATAGCACATGGGATGAAACAGCCCACCTCCTCTGGTTTCTTAAGATTTTTAAACACAGATGGGAAAGACTGAGCAAATGAAGGAGCTGCTTGCACGGCTGGAAAAGATATTTTTCCAATGCAATCACTATCATTAAAGCCAAAGATTGCACGAACTTGATTATAAGTAACTAAGCGTTGTATTTGACACACAGTTCGATAGAAATCTGGGCATGCTCTGAAAATGCAATTTTACATCAAACACAATGAATGTAAATCTATGTGAATTCTACTCGGAACATTTTGAAAAAATATAGAAAATCTTAAATTTTGGAAATAATTATATGCTAATTATTTACAATTCATCAAAATATCATGACAGATGAAATGTTTCTCTCCATAAATGCCTGGGAATAACAGATTTTAAGCTGCTTGAGTTATCAAATGTAAATACAAACTGAATATGGTTTAAAAGACCAGGAGCATCATGCAAAAACAGATGGATATAAAGTTTGTTCTTCCTGAAGGAAAACAGAAAAAGTTGGGTAATAGATTGAAAACTAAAGATCAGAAATTAAAGTAGGGTCAGTGTGTTACGTAATATCATAATAAAACTAAATTTTCACCATAGAACTTTGTGCAAGTGTAGTAATTCAAATTGACACACACACTCTTCATAAAAGCACACAGAAATATAGGAAAAAGAAAGAAACTCAAGGAAACTATAATAAACCAAAATATGCAGAAGAAATAATAATCAAATGGATTATAATGAAAATTGAACAGATCTAGGAGTTTCCGAAGAGTTAATGCATCTGCATTATTGAGAACAGTTTTGAGCTATGTCACATAAACTCTCGAGTCAATGATTTTGAGTTACATGGACTCCAGCTAGATAGTCTACATCTCTCTACGCAGCTCAGGCCAATAGTTGAAGACTTCATGAATAGGTTTAATTATTCTTAACTACTTTCCAAAGTAATCCTATTTTAGTTAAGATTTCTTGTGAAGGAAAGCGATGGCCTTGCAGGTGTAACACACGAGGGTGAAGAATATATATATATATATATATATATATATATATACCTAAATATGGAATAAAAGCATTCTCAGCAAATACTCTACGAATCTATATATTCCATAGAATCACATAGTGAGGTTATATTTTACAAAAATTCAATTTATTATGCGAAAGAATGCCGAATATATAAAATACTTAGGACACTAAAATTAATTGTCCTCTAAAATCAAAAATAATTATGCTATTTATGTACAATTGCATGCTTGTAACCTTTGATACTAACTTCTGTAATAAAATGAGTTCATTTTCTTTCTTCTATTTTACCCTTTTCATTCACAGCACTCCCAGTGGAACATAGAGTTTCAGGCTTGGGGCCTTGAAGTTTCAGTAGCGGTGATTTTACGCGATAGGGTTGCTAGCCTCACGCTTAATCTTCCTTCCTTGCTACCGACTAAATGAGGTTTAGGAGTGCGTCGGCCAAGAATTGAACCGCAGACCACATTCATGGCGAGCATTCTGTTACTGAACCACCGACAAATTCTGTTTGGTTTTAGTCAACTTAAATTGGAAGACATAAACGATAACTCTGCATACATTCGTTAAATAATAATTTAGTTGTATCATAAAAGTTGGGAAAGTTTAATAAGCGTCAGTTTATACGGTTGCTACAGCTACAAATTTGTAATATATATATATATATATATACATATATATATATATATATATACTTTCACTAAGCTTATGAAATAGACATTTTTAAAATATTGAAGATTCCTGTTGTAAAAATTATAACACAGGTACGCCAGCAGTACTGTTCTGAATTACATTTCATCACAATTCATTCTAATATACATAACTTTACAAACAAATATTAAATATAAGCCAGTTGTGGTGATTCGTCAACTAGATGATTAAGATTGGGCACACAAATTGTACGATTATTCATAATGGCAGTAATAATTATAAGTCTATTAATAACACAGATGGAAAAATAGCACTAACTGTGACAACAACGATAATAGAGAGCAGTATGATTATGCAAACGATTGTTTAGACAGACGTAGCAAAGGGGGAGAAAAACAAAGTCATATTAGGTAATACTTGTTGGCCGATAATCCGTGAAAATATGTCACAGAGCAACTAAATATTTGGTGTAGTAAGTTTATACAAAACTACCATTACCTTCGAAAAACTTGCCTAGATTTCCTGTGTATTCCAGTATATATGGATTTTACCTAAGATTTTAGGAGCTAGTTGTAAATTCTAAAGAAATAATCATCAATAAATCAAATATTCTTTTCACAGGTGTAGATTATTTGATACACACTGAACCATTTATCACATTATGAAAGCTGTTTAACACTGCTCCACTTAATCTGACACACTAGGATCACAAAGAATGGTTGTTCAAGTCAAAATAGTTTATCAGTTCACTGAAATATACATAAGTAATCACTATGTCAAGGTAGCAACTTCGTCTGGTTTACTAGACAGCTAGTTTTCGAGCCGGTCCCAAGCCCGGATAAAAAGGGAGGGATAGGTGTGGGACTAGTGACCCTACACCATAAAACCAATCAAACTGCTACAGAAACTTTAACGCACAATAAAAATACCAAAAATACAAAAAGCAAACTTATTCTTCGCTCGAATCGGAGAAGTGAAATGACGCGGGCTGGTGAAAGCCTCCGGGAAGCCAGTCATCCGATTTTTCTTCTTTCGATGGAAGCAAGAATAAGAATGGGGACGTGGAGTGTCCGTACAATGTACGAGGCTGGACTGGGAAAGCTGCCCAGGTAGCCAAAGAAATGCGAAGATATGGCCTAGAAGTGCTCGGTATCTGCGAGAGAAGATGGAATGGATGCGGACTGTCAAAATTGTCAACTGGAGAGTCAGTAATCTACTGGTCTGATCAAACAGACGGCAACCACGAGCACACTGAGGGACGGTGTGGCTATAATGATGTCACGAATGGCAGCCAGAGCCCTAATGCAGCAGGAACTAATTTCATCCTGCAGGATTATGACGGCAAGATTCAACTCCAAGTGAAAAGGAGGTCACAGTTATCCTATACTACGCACAGTGCTACAAACAACGCGGAGCAAGAGGAGGACTTTTACAGACCACTACAAACAGTAATGGACAACATCCCAAATGGTGATATCAAAATCCTTATAGGCGATATGAATGAAGGCCAAACTGGGTGCAGATAATACAGGAAGAGAACTCATTGTGGGTCGAGAAGATCTCGGGGAAATGAGTGACAGTGGAAAACTATTCACAGACTTCTGCAATTTCAATGATTTGGTGATCGGATGGAGCGCGTACAAACACAAGGATATACACAAAGCAACATGGATTCCGCCCGACGGACACACCACAAACTAAACAGATTTCATCTCAATGTCGCTGAAGGAGGTAGAGGCACAACCTGCTGGACACAAAGTCGAGAAAGGGAGCAGATTTGGGCTCAGACCATCATCTACTTCAACGAACTTTTAAGGTGAAGCTGAAATCCATGAAAGCAAATGGAGACAGAGCACAATTCAAGTTCAACATTTAGAAACTGAAGGACAAAACTACGAGGGATGCCTTCGCTACAGATATCAGAACAAAGTCGGACACACTACGTGGCATCACTGAAGAAAACTGTGTAGAAGAACACTGGAACTCTCTGAAGGTGATGTTCAAGGAAACGTGTACAACTGTTCTAGGAAGAAAGAAGAGGCAAGATGAGGAATGACTCTCAACAGACGCCTGAATGCTAATTGAGGACAGGAGGATGGTGAAAGAGAAGATGACTCAATGCAAAGATGGACAACAGAAGGAGAAGCTGAGTTTAATGTACACTGCACCGAATAAAGAGAGAATTGAAGAGGATTGCTAGGAAAGACAAAAGACAATTCTACGAAACACTGACCGGCAACTGAAGCATAACGTGCAGACTGTAGGTAAGAGAGACCTCAGAACATTATATCAGATAACCAAGTCTCTAGCTGGGAAGAGATCAACGCAGATGAAACCTACAAAAGATGTTCCAGGGAATCTAATTACCAAGGAGGGGAAACAAATAAAACAATGGGTTGATCATTTTAATAGACTCTTGAATCGACCACCACCAACAGCACGCACAGAACTGCTTACATGTGGACACTAATCCTCCAACGAAAGCAGAAATCTTAAATGCGAGCAACCTACTGAATACCGGCCGGGAAGGTAGCGGAGCCAGACGGAATTCCCACCGAAGCATTGAAAACAGACCCAAAGACTGCGGCAGATGCACACGATATTATTGCAAAAGGTTTGGAAGGAGGCGAAGGTAGCCTACCAATTGGAAGAAAAGCTGGCTATCTTGTCAAGCCACCAAAGAAGGGCGACTTACGCCTCTGCAAGGAATGGCACAGAATCATGCTATTGTTCACGTCCAGTAAAATACTAGGTCGTGTCATCCTGGAGAGAATAAAAGATGCACTGCATGCAGAACTCCCTCAGTTGACCGGAACGAGCTGGATTCAGGAAAAGTAAATCATGTGCTGATCAAATTGCAACTCTATGCGTCATCATTGAACAAAGCATAGAATGGCAGTCAAACCTCTATCTTAACTTCATCGACTTTCAGAAGGCTTTCGACAGACAGCGTTGATCGAGAAGTAATTTGGAAACTAATTCAATACTATGGCATACAGTGACCGGATCTTTATCAACCTCATTCAACATCTATACGACTGTGTTACGTGCCAGGTGATCCACAACGGAAAAGTCAACGAGGCATTTGAGATGAATACAGTTGTAAGAAAAGGCCGGTTGCCTATTATTACTGATGATAACCTTGATTGTGGTGGACTGGATCATGCGTCAGACTGTGTACAGGGAGTGAGGAGACAGCAATACGTCGGACTGACAGATAAAAAGACTCTAGAAGATCTGGATTTCGCGCGTGGATGATTTATGTTTGATGTCACACAAAATCGAAGACTTGCAGGAAGGCATAAACCAACAAACTGGCTGAAGAGGCAGGCAGCGAAGACAGGACTTCAGGTGAACACAGAGAAGGCGGAGTTGATGAAGATAACCAACCAACAGCAACAGCAACAACCAGCACCAATCACCATCAACGGGAGAAATATGATAGAGGTTACCTCCTTCACTTATCTAGGAAGCGTGGTTTCAACCACAGGTGGAACGGATGAAGATGTCAAAGCAGACCAGAATCGGAAAAGTACGATACGCCCTCGCCAACCTGAAATCAGTTTGGAAATCTTCTGCACTCAGCCAGCATAAAGGACAAGATTCGGATTTCCAACACAAATGTGAAGTCAGTCAGTTCGTCTGTACGCGTCAGAAACATGCACTATCTGTAACGGAAAGGATTTCCAACAAGTAAGAGACTTTTATCAGCAGCTGCCTTCGTTGGCTTCATATTGAAGATCAAATGTCAGGTCGGCCAGGAAGAATTAGTAACAAGAAACTCTGCAGTGGAACAAACCAACAAACAACCTATCGTTCAAAAACTATATAGGTGAAAGTGGAGATGGATCGGGTATGCTCTAATGAGTTTGTCGAGTAACATCGCGTGCCCGGCTATCGCATCCCAAAGGGAAGCGACGACTGGGTCTTCAGTCCGAGGGTGAGATGGAGGAGGAGGTCGTGCGAGGAGGAGATGAGAGGTTATGGGCAATCGTGGACCCGGCTGAAGAGGACAGAGGAAAATGGAACAAAGTGGGGACGTCTTGTTGAAGCCCTATGTTCCACTCGGAAACGAAGGGAACAATAATTCGCTAAATTAGCAGATGCAAAAAAGTGAATACATATCACATCGTAAGCATGCAATTACAGATAACTTCTAAGTATTGCCAGTGATTGGCAAAATGCGGAATTCAGCGTTATAGTTTTTAACATTGTGAGCTAGTGTAGAGAAAGGATCACTTTGAAATAACTAAGTTCTTTAGCCACAATCAATAGTAACTGAAATATGACAAAACAAGACTGGATAGCCTTATCGGACCTCACAATGAGTGTGGCTTATTGTCTGGGACATGGAGAATTCTGTTCCGGGTTAAAAGGTCCTAACTAAAATTTTCAATCAGTTGAGGATGTATATGGCAGAGAAGTTACGGTTTTTGTAGGCAGTTTATCTAAGTGCTTAACACTTTTGAAAGTACCACCTCTACACCATAAGAAAAGAGTACAGGAATTGCTTATAGCAGCCTGCAATGTGTTTCTCGGAAGAGTTCATTCGTTTCTTCGAAAAACCATACTGAATTCCGTAATCATATGTGCCTTTCTAACAACTGCAGACTACTTAGCCTTCACTAATCGTTCAATTTTGTTTTATAAATTCAAAAGCTCATGATACTTATTTAAGCCTTTTACGTCTTTCTGCATCGGTTGCACAGCGGCAGGATGCTCGCCAACCATGTATATGGTCCGAGATTCAATCCCCGGCCGATGCACTCCTCCACCTCGCTAACCCAGTAATCAGCCTGGCAAAAAGGGAAGGTTGAACATGAGGCTAGCAACCCCATCCCGTAAAAATAAATACCACCGCTACTGAAACTTCAAAGCTCTAGCTTGAAGCCTTCCGTTCCACTGGGAACGTTAAGGAGTAAAACAACAATAATGAAGTACACATCTTTCAGTTGGACTATTTCATACGAACACAAGGAAGGAGACAACGGGGCGTTGGTCACTGACAGCTCAGATGATATAAAGAACAATATTTTCCGAAGCCCGACTGAAAAAAATTAATTAAGAGCTGTAACTAGAGGAGAAAAATTTCAAACTATGTATGTAGCATGATGAGGATTCTAGTGAGTGGTAAAATGCCTCGAACTCGGTCGGTCGGTTTTCGACATAGAACTTTGCACATATGTGCGGCAGTTCAAGTCGCCACACTCCATGTAGCACACAAAGCAAGAGAAGAAAGTAGAAGAAATGCATATTTGAGACAGTAAACAGAGGTGTGGGACAAAGGTATAGTAATAACGAGGAACAAAACAGTTTAATTGGAAATCATAAGTCACAAGGAGTGGATGCATCTGCGCCATTGAGAACGATTTTGAGCCATATCACCAATTGTCTCCAGCCATCTGCTTTTAACATCCCGAGGACCCCAACCAGGAAGCCAGTCTACACCTTCCTACGTGGCTTAGACTAACTGTTGTGGATTTCATTGACTGGTGCCATGTTTTCGTTTGACCGCCGCTGGCTCTTTTCCAGCCTGGCCCTATATCAGCTAACATTTCCCGTCGAGGAAGGCGATGACTAGGCATACGTAACACATGTCCTAACCATCTCAGTCGATGCAATTTCACAGTCTCGTCGACTGATTTCCCCGCCTTACCTAGCACACGACGACTAACCTCAATATTGCTCACCTTATTATACCACTTCACGCGGGAGATAGAACGCAGACACCTATGATCGACCACAGATAATCTTTTCATGTCTTCTGCTCTCAATGGCCAGGTCTCACAGCCATAAAGGAGGACGGAGCGGACTGTTGAGCAGTACACACGCCCTTTGGTCGATAGTCGGATATCACGTCTACACCAGAGACGGCGTAAACTGGCATATGCGAAATTAGCCCTCTGTATTCGTGCTGAGATTTCGTCGGAGATCAACCCGTTGGGGCTGTCAGTGGCTTTAGATAATGATAAGAAATTATATTTCTTGTACGCCTATTATTAAAATTCAGTTGCAAAGACGTTCCTAACAATTAATACAAAATCAAAATATGCTGAAACCTACCCCATGTACTCAAAATCGCTGAAAATAAATGTTTTGTTAGGGTCGAAACCCATGGCAATTATATCTTTTGCATTTTCGCGAGACAGATGGCGAACTTCTGAAATGGATAAGTTTTTCCATAGAAACTTTTCGTCGTCAGTCAACTGGATAACGAGGGGAACATCAAAAACGTCCTGTAGCCACCTGAAAAATGATGAATGTACAATTTAATACAACTTATTTATTATGAACGGAACGACATGTCCAAGATGTAAAGCTTCGGACGACGGGCCTCTTCCAGTGTACAGGAAGAATGGCTTTTTCTGTTCAATCCGTAAAATAATCTGTTCTAGGTCCCTTAACAGCAATTTTTAAAATGGCTTAGACTACCTATGTGAAAAGAAGATTTTACGCTTCAAAAGGTGGTGAAGTGGTTGTGGGCAAACGTTAGAGAGTTGCAGAAGCAAATCATCGGTGATTTTCGAGCAACCAAAACGAGTAATAAGTTTGTCATAATCCACACCGCTGCCTGAGCTAGCTGATACTTCCCATGGAGTGACGACATCTTCATTGTCATGTAAAACTTCACCAATGTCTTTACAGTCCAGATGAGACATCTTGTGCAATTTCTTCACAGCATACGGTGACAGAACTGTGTGAGACAGAAGAGACAAAAAGGAACTATTAGTCTAGATAAGAAAATAATTTAACACCACCATATATACATGCTTCATAATAGTAGTACACAAAATGGAATAACACCACAGCTGAAACCGTATTGTTAATAAATACTTAGAATTTATTTATAACAAATGCTTAAGAATCAATAAAAATAAATAAGTTTTGTTAAACACAAGTACTAAATAAGTAAGGTATCGAGGTTAGATAAATCACTGAAACGTATACATTCAGTTGGCCCATATTTTCAGAGTACCGTTGAAGCTCATTGGAGTGCCTAGATAACTAAGCTGTTTCCTTTATTCTCAAATGCAAAAAATAAGTAAGTTATAAACAGTACAAGATACACATAATCATTCATTTCTCCAATTTCTAACTAGACGTAGGAGGTTTCCCACACTGGAGCCTAAATTCTATGTATTACAGCAATATGGTGTATGAAAGTTGAATTCTCTATGCTCGCCTCCCGGTTTACGAAACGGTAATGCATGAACAGTGAAAAGGCAAATATTTATATTATCGAATAAGAAAAACTGGCCTAGGGCTTGAACCTGTCATGGAATTAAGACATTTAACAAGACGTCATGTATGCGTTATATTCCTCTATCTCACATATGGCTGAATGACAGAAACACGAACTACTAACATAACTGAGAGACTAATTTGGTTCCTACCCTTTGTATTCTTTCTAAGATATGTCCGTCCTTCTTGAAGCATGGACTAGCCGCTTGTATGCAGTATTCTAGATGAGGCCTGACATAGGTTGCGTAGAGTACTTTGAACATAGACTCATCTAATCGTTTGAAAGCTCTGGGGAGTGCCCATAGCATTCGAAAAGCCTTAGCTGCGGCTGCATTGCAATTCGCAGATGCTTTCAAATCATCGTTGACGATGATTCCTAGGTCCTTCAGATAGTTCTGTGTCCATTAGGGAGTACGACGCATATGACCTGACCTATGTGCACTACCGCGCTTTTCCTAAAATCAATTTCCAAACTCCACAGTTTCCACCACTCAGCTAATTTATCTAGATAATGTACATGAACGTTGGCAATGTTAGACTTTAAGCACCACCAACTAACAATCAGCGAATGACCTCGAACGCACCAATCACCTGAAGGAGGCATTTTCGTGTATGGAATACACATATTTGTGAAGAAATGCCTAAAAACTGTATAAAAGTGTCACAGAGGATATCAATTCCCCTCACATACGATAAAAATTGCTCCCAGTTTTAGGTTGGAGTATCAACAGAGTATAATTCCATTGTGGGTGAAATTTATTCTGATAAAGTCTCATAGTGCAATACAGTAATATTTCCTAAGCAATAATCTTTGCTGAAAACGTCATCAGTAAATATTACCGTATAACACCCTGAAACTTTATGAAAGCAAATTTTACCTACAATGGAATTATACTCTACCACAGTGCACAAGTTATATTCATATATCAACGGAGTAATTTAACCACATTCTATTCATGTAATTATTTACGTCTTCTAACCCTAACAATAACCTTGATCTTTCCTCAACCAAACCTTAATGTGAAGATATCCCTAAACTAACTGCCATCTAACTTCAACTAACCCCAGTGTCACCTTTAATAAATTAACCATTTCATAACTTGTCCTTGGCCTAAACTGTAACTTAATCTTTCCAAAATCTAAGATGAAACTTGCCAGATATCCCATTTATTAACATAACACTTCGATGGGCATATTTAATTGATGACGACAACATTATTTGCCAGGTTTCACTAACTTGCTCAGTGGGCGTATCAAGGTCATTAGAGCAGTAACACTCCATCGGTAGTTAATTGTGCTTAAAGTTTAACTTGGTCATTTTATTACTTGTATTTAATCTAGCTAACAGTATCACAGTCGCTAGGGCGAACTGACTAGCTTGAGATTTGCAATGCTAAACATCGAATATGGCAAATCCCACACGTACGAAACACTTTCAAAACTGTTGGGCACTGATTCGACCCTGTGAAGTGGGTTGCTCAAACAAAGTGTGACAATCACCAAGTTTATCTTAACTGAGCTACGACAAAGGTATTTCAAAAACCTCTAAAACCTATCGGTAGTATCCTGACAGTTAGTTAGGTGAACATTATTTAGGTTGAGGATAAATGTAATGAATAGCGGAGCACATGGTTAATGGAGAGGCTGAGCACTTGAAGGTCACTTTGCACGTTGTGATTAGTAGTTTCGAGTTTGCGTCTACGTCGTGGCAATACCAAAGTAGGGTTGACTGCTGAAACAGCCGTGAAAGTGGTGTTTTTATCATTGGATGACGACTCGGTGGATGTGCTGTGAAATCATCACAAACTGTCAAGGTCACTGGAGCAGTTAGCGACCTGAAGGTTATTTTCGTCCATGTTAGTCGGCCATGTTGGAGTGCCGTTCCCTAACCATTCATTTACAGATTGGCATTTACGTTTATCCTGTAGTTATTCACAACTTGATGCACATTGTTCAAGAATGCTGCGTTTCACCTCATTTTTTTCCGTTGCTGTTTAGATTTGTTATTGCGTTTGTTTCCAAAGATTTTACCACCAGGTTACTTCATTGTAATTTTTTTCATACGTTTTCTTTATGCGTGGTTACATCGTTTTAGTTGTTTTCAGCTGTTAATGAAACAGTACTGTGTAGAATTTCTGGAATTTATGCAAATGAACATGTTTGGGTGCCAGAAGCTGTTGTTTCCAGTTCATTTGTTGGTTGCCAGTATTGTTTACTTAATGTACAGAAATCTGGAGAAAACAATGTCTTTCACGTTCATGTTTGTAGCATGCAACTATCTACGAATCAACCTGGTGAGGACAGTACTATCAGAGTTGATATTAGCAAGGTTTTCGAAGAACACATAAATCCTGGAGAATTTAGAACCTGAGATGAAATTGAAAAAGCTTTAAAGACTTTCGAGAAGGTCAGTATACCATCAATGTGCCTATTATCAGTTAAAAAATAAGATATATTGTGGGAGAACCCAAATTAAACAAGGTTGGGCTACATGTGAAGTGCTAATTTGTCGTGTTTGTATGCATTTCTGGGAACAAAAAGAAACAGGGGAACATTCAGAAATCTATAAAGGGTAAGTGTTGCCCATGGTTGTTAATACCTAATGTACTAGATCCAAATACATGTACTAGAACTGCCTGTAGTAAAGCCACTGTTATTGGCCATTCAATATGTTACAAAACGATTTTAAAAGCGGATAGCATACAATGATCTGGTGAGTGTACAAATTATCCTAAATAAAGGTAAGACTTTAATTAACAAGAATAACGACTCTTATTGTGGTCTGCAATTGGTGGTGAGAAGCTGATTATTATTCGGGATGCAAACATTGGCTGAATAAAAATTGCTTGTAATTTCTGGATGGGTATAAATATGTGATGTCCATGATTTTTAAGAAAACTTTAAATAAATTCTCCTTGAACCAGTGGTCCTCTTTTTCTTGGAGAAACACTTGTCGACACGATTAGACAAATAGATAGCAAAGTAGTTGTAGTAGTAGTAGTAAGTACTATAGTCGCTGCGCTTCAGATTAATATCGCGCGTCTATTATAACCCTACCGATACAGTGAGTCATTTGAGGCGATGGGATAAATACCTCTAAACGCTTTCATGAAGATTATGACATATTTACTTTTTTCGGCCAGGAGACCATCTTTTTACCGGGAAGGTTCTCAGGACATCCACTCTTACTTTGTAATTCAAAGATAACGTTAAGTTGCACACTAAGGTAGTAGTTACAGGAGATTACTTACAGCAGAGACTGTTTTAAGGTAGCTACATGGTTGGAGGTAATGTGTCATAGAACTATACAGCGTACGTTGACTGCGTCTAAATATACTAAATGTTGTACAACTGGTCAGATCGTAGTTCTTATTTACTAGTTAGTCTTATAAACAATAAATATACCGTACAAGCGTTTACTTTGATTTGCATGCCTAGCTCATTAACAGTTTACCTGCATTTGTTATACATTTAAGGCTAATACGCTGTGTGATGAGTTCTGTAGAACACGTTAATATCACGATTAAAGCAAGAAGAACAGGTCAAGCAGGAAAAAGTAGCGTCATTAAAGCGTAATTTATTTAATATCCATAAAGTAGAGATGCAAATACTGCAGTTGTTGGTCATAAAAATGATGGATATCGGATAACGTCACATGATTCAACGGCATATCAGAGGTAAACAAAAATTGTTTCTCAGCTCATCGTCAAGTAAGCAGCCTATTTGTTGATGTCACTGCATATTAGCAGATTAAGGAAGTAGCTATCAACCCTCAGTAAGTACATTTACTTGTACTACAGACTTGTAGTTTAGCACCATACAGACTTGCAACTGGCTAGATAAGACTACTTTACCGTATCCATGGTACAGAATTATTATTCGACTTGCTAAATCCTACTTGGTTTTTACAACGTGCTATTGTATAGAAACAGACGCGAAATCCTATGAATGACTAAAGTAACGGTCTTATGATACTATAGTAAATCTCCATCCCATTAACTAAGCTTAAAATACATTAATCCAAGTTTACTCATTACGAAAGCTTATAGTAAAGCAACGCTAAACTAAGTGCTATTGTCTACAGCGTTCTGGACAATGAGACACTGAAAAAGGTACAGCGCATCTTACTTAGTGAGGCGAAAATGCCCAACTCCAAGACTAAGTGCTATAGGCTGAAGAAGAGTCAACATGAAAAGTGTCCTATTCGTTTTCAGTTCGAAACACCGGCTGAGGCCAGAAAATTCATCCACTCCCAACACACCCTATCGCAAGCCAGAAATTACGAACTAATAAAGGTTGCGGTGGACAAGACAGTCATAGAAAGGCGCGTATATAATTATCTCACTGAGTCTAATTGTGGAATAAACAATAGGACATTACAAGCAGTAATTATACCCAACCCTTTGAGAGATACCGTAGAATCCACTGCATCACCCCTCTCAAACAACACGGAATTATCTTCTCAGAGAGCGACACTAACCGAAAGACCACAAGATTGCAATCCAATAGCCAATAAAACTATACCACCTATCACTGTAGATATAGATATGTCACCAAATAATCCCGGAAAAAAGTCAAAATCCCCCGAAAGTCTACCCTGTCCTCTCCTAGCCATAAGTCCATCGGTAAAAAAAGAGAATATGACCCCAAATCATGCCAACAATGGCAGTATAAATAAGCCCACATTCCCAACGGTCAATAGTATTAGCACCCACAACGTGCGAAATAGCACCATGGCACACACTGATAACCAACGCCACTACAATGCCACCCTCAATAGTATAAGTGGCAATAGTCAGAACTCGACCACCAACGACTCAGGGTATTCACAGTATGGCACACAAATAAATTTTGATCGGATATATGGTACAAGTGTGCTGGCAAATAACCCACAATGCAGTACACACGACACCCATACAAGGACACAACTTGAATCAAACAATAGGCGGAATAATAAACCATGGTCATCACAAGGTCCCAATCATTTTTTATCCCCTTCGTCCCTGTCAGCGTTGAAAAAACAGCTGGTAGGGATGTTAACACTCCTAAACCGCTAGTGCTGGCTCCCGCTTTACATGAATATAGGAACAGTCTAGTTCACTCACATCCATTAAGCACACCTGATACATGCACAAGTTTAGGTCAAATAAAGATCTCTACCCACATTTCTAGCTTAACTAAAAATAAAACTGCCTTAGCCTATAGTAAATCCAGTACTCCAACGCTTAATTCTTCACCGAAAACAGCACACACTAACTCGATAGACATAGATGAGCATGATGTTGAAACTCCTCTTAACATAGGGTCGTCATGTCAAACAGTACTACTAGGTGCTGAACCATATTCAGGGCTGATTAATGAACTTAAATACCTCAAGTGCTATTTCAAATCTCATCTCTACCTGATCCGCATAAATTCTAGATCTGTTTTAAATAAACTACCGATGCTCAGAGCACTCACAGTAATATACGAACCCCCTATAATTGTCATCACTGAATCTTGGTGTTATTTGAACATACTGGATGAAGAGATAAGCTTAGATAACTATACACACTTTCGGTGTGACAGGGAAGGTGGTAAGGGAGGGGGTTGTCTCATGTACTTTCTGAATGCACTTACTGTATCACGGCTAGAAAATAGTACACTTAACATGCCTGAGACTTTATGGGTTAACTTAAACTTAAATAATGCAGTAGTATTAATTGGATGCGCCTACAGAACACCTTGCACCTTTAGTAATTACGAGACCCAACTTATTAATACTCTGGAACAATTATCCACCCTACACTACGATCATAAGATCCTATGTGGAGACTTTAACTTACCAGAAATCAACTGGGATATACCCACAGGCCAAACTAAATTTGATAAGTTCTTAGGCACACTGGATATACTTGGCTGCAAACAGACTGTCACAACCCCAACAAGAGGTAATAACATACTAGACTTAATCTTCTGCCACAATATAAGTCCCCTTTCTACCCTAGTAGGTTCTGAGTTTCCAGGGTGTGACCACAAAACAGTGCTGTGTGCACTGTCACTTCCGTCAAGTAGCAGTGCAGCCCCTATCCTTACGTTACAACATATAACATACAGGAACTACAGTAAGGCAGACTGGACTCTAGTAAAATCAATGCTAAGATCCTCAGAATGGAGTGAGTACTTCTATGCTGATAACCTCTCGAAAGCTCTAGACACCTTTTACTATAATTCCAACACATGCTTAGATGCTGTCATCCCACTTCAAACACTAAAGTTTTCCCCACATAGAAAGACATTCATAAAGCCTAAGGATCGTGGGAAACTTAAGAGACTGTCAACAAGGTACTTCAGACGACACGACTTTAGTACACTAGGGTCAATACTTAGTACTCTTAGCTCCATTTCGCAAGCTCATAACTTGCGTATGAGAAATGAAGAATGCACCGCACTAGCTAGCACCACCAGAGTAGGTGCTCTCAC